TGAGATCATACTGGGAACAATTGAAAATGAGGGATTAATGGAGAACTATCTCGTCCCAGTTTGGTATTCTTCAACCTCATCCACCCATGACTCCATAGTTTAGGGTTTAGAGCTGTGAGCTTTAAGTTACCAGGCGAACACGTCGGCTTTTCACAGGCTGAGACAAAGTCTAGTCTTCAGCCCATGAATTCTAACTTTTACCGACTCACACATTCTGTACATGATAAAACTTGATATCAGTTAAATCATTCCTGAAAACCAGAACTTAAAATTAATCTAATGCTCATGAGTGATTGACTCCAGGATAAAGCTGTGTGAAGTTGTGACGAATGGGGTCCAACGAGTCAGATGTGAGGAAAGCCACACACCGACGATATTGGCCACCTGCAGGGCTATGTATCGTGAATTGGAAAATGACAGAGTATATGAACTACTGGGGGCTGTCTCTGAATGGTCAGCACCCACACCTTGTAAAATGAAGATCCTAAGTTCCATCCCTGTTGGGTGAGATCACGGATGCTTGTGGATGATGAGCCTCAAAGTAAGACAAAACCTATGCCTTAGGATTTTATTCCGACCAGATAGACTTTGTAATGACATTCAAGTTGAACTCTGATTGAACATTGGGTAGTTAGTAACCAGCATCATGCGTCATGGGGAGGTTAAGCGAAGAGGAGATGAAAGCACGTGGGCAGACGTGGAGCCAGGTGAAAGTGTTGACAGAGAACCGAAGGCAATGGAGATGTGCGGCTGAAGCTCTGTGTTCCTCTACGGACTAAAGAAAACAATAATATAATATAATAATCGTGCGTCTAATCCTTTGTTTTAGTGCAGACTGGATTCTGTCAGTCAAGTTTCCAAAGTGGCGGCCATGTCACTAGTTGGCTGACCATCATGATATTGTACTCTGAATTGCTGTTAATTGATGGTTGGAGGTTGAACCTTTATTGGTATATTGTTTATTCAGGCAACAATCACAGATCGATGAGAAGGAAGGGTTTCAAGGAGTGTTACTGTGATCTTTTGTTTTGTGATTCGTGTAATAGTTGTATATCCGACTGGGTAAACTTATTCAAGTGTAGAGACAAGACCAGTAGTTCAGCAGAGAGTCTGTTTTCGGCTAATTTACTTTCTTACCTGTGCAATCGCAAATGTATATATGGGTTACTTTGTATGTATGTGTACATCAAGTTTGTCAAACAAAAATACAATTGGTTATGGTTATTTTAACTAAACAGGTGAGAATTAGTAAGTTTTCGGTGGAGTTACGTAATACAAAAAGTATTCAGAGGAATCGGATGTTGATATAAGAGGGTAGTAACAGAAGTGATGAGTTGTCACAAAAGATTGTTAAAGAAGAGTTATGTAATGATAACATGAATAGTTTGATGAAAGAGTTGTACTCAGGGTGAACATGGAAACAAAATAAAATACGGAATTACGTAAGAGTTTTAAGGGAATACAAGAGTTTTAAGTAAGTTAGGAAAACAAGCGAAAAAGTAAAAGTCACGTCAGATAAACAGAGTTATTACCATGATAGTATGGTTGAATAATTTTCTTTCAAGAAGACCTTCCTTCACGGTTACACTGAGAGTAGCGTTTTCCAGTCAACCACTGATCTTCAGAAGCCCAGAGAACAAGATCTCGCACCTGACCACTTCTCTGTGTATATGTCAGTTCACCTATTGCTGTGGAGTCAGGTACATCGGTCGTTCGACGCGCATCCCGTCAAAGAGAGTCAAAGAACACTATCCAGTGTGGCTGCAGAAAGGAAGTAGTGGTCGTTTAAGAAGTGCAATAATCGGACATCTCCTTACCACTGGTCATTCCATCTCAACAAACGCCTCCTCCTTCAAAGTAATCTACAAAGTGAAGAACAATTTGACAAAGACAACACATTTCCGTCTTCTTTGCATTGCAGAAGCGCTATCCATTCAGTTAGAAGAACCAGAACTATGCATACAAAAGAAAATTATTCAACCATACTATCATGGTAATAACTCTGTTTATCTGACGTGACTTTTACTTTTTCGCTTGTTTTCCTAACTTACTTAAAACTCTTGTATTCCCTTAAAACTCTTACGAAATTCCGTATTTTATTTTGTTTCCATGTTCACCCTGGGTACAACTCTTTCATCAAACTATTCATGTTATCATTACATAACTCTTCTTTAACAATCGTATGTGACAACTCATCACTCCTGTTACTACCCTCTAATATCAACATCCAATTTCTCTGAATACTTTTTGTATTACGTAACTCCACCGAAAACTTACTAATTCTCACCTGTTTAGTTAAAATAACCATAACCAATTGTATTTTTGTTTGGTAAACCTGAATGTACACATACATACAGAGTAACCCATATATACATTTGCGATTGTACAGCTAAGAAAGTGAATTCGAGAGCGAAAAGAGACTCTTCGCTGAACTACTGGTCTTCTCTCTGTTAATATTTGATTGGGGATTATTCAAGTGTGTCTAGTGTTGTATACATATTTATCTTAATAATTGATTTGCTTTATTCGTTTAAGTTCCTAATAGAAAATTCGACCTCTTGCTTGGACTTTAGACTTCCAGTACCAATGGTGTACTGTTTTTTTGCGGGGTAAGATTGCCATCCTCGTTATTGGGCTTGCTATTGACTGAGTGGTTGGCAAGTATTTGACCGCTGCACTATAGACGTATTTACTGTAAATTTACGATGCTGTTTAGGAGAGGTGAAGCTGAGTTAGGAACTGCAGCCAAGTGATCTATCGCCTAAGGTATATCAACTACATCTGCTTTCATGTGAGATGCCTTAGGTCTATACTGACTGGCGATGTGTTTAGGCATTTGTGTTGGCGCTTAACTGAATTCCACCCTACAGATAACCCCTGATGAAGACTGCCAATAAGCATGAAACACAGGTATTTCTAGGTTTCCAACAGATTGTCTCCAAATTACCTACACTGGATCCTAAATTGTTCACAACACCATTCACTTTCCTCGTGTTTAAAAGCTGCTTATTTTATATCTTATGCTTCTAGATTTATTCTACTTATTATTAATCAGTAGTACAGACGGCTGTACATCTAGTCTCATTGTTCACACATAGGTTTTGGGTATTCTTCCTCTTCAGGCAATCGGTTCAATATCTTCATCATCTCTCCTTCTCCATTTTCATCTGAAGTCCCATTTCGTGTACTCCTTCTCCTCACTGGTTGGCTTGGTCCTGTAAATCTTCGAGTTTGTGCGACATTGGAAATAAGTCATCCGTGAAATCCAGATCTTATAGCGTGTTTTTAGCAGTCAAACATGCCTGTCTTTCGACCCCCCCCCACCCACTATATTACGTAATATCTAATTCACCATATCCAGAGAGAGCAGTATGCAGTCTTCCACTACTCCGGTCTTCACTTCTGTTAAGCTTCTGGCATCAACCTATAGCTGTTAAATGAGGTTTACAGGGGTTTGTGGTAATGCACTTCGCAGAGTTGAAGCATTTTCTAAATCACTTCATGGTCAACGCTATAGAAGGTGATGTCAAAGTCACTGGAGTTGACTTAGTGAGTTAACTGACTGCTATTCTATGCCCCCTGTTCGATTATAATGTGTACCTGAATAACACTATATACTACTGATTGACTGAATTAAGTAGTTGCACACTACTTATATCAGGCAGTAGTGCATACTAGCTAGACGGATCTAGGTGACCTGGACACCCGACAGTCATTTCTTTCGTTTACGACCGAGCTCATCAGTGGTGCAGCCAGTTAGACTCAACTTATAGGGCCAAATTCCTGGCTAGCTACCTGGTCGAAATGGTCATTATTATTATTATTAATTATTTCCTTGCGTTCCGAGGGGAACATAGGTGTCAATGTACGTGAACACTGAACGTTTGTTTTATTGGATCTGGCAGCCATTAGTGGGCAACTGAAAGGCGCGAATGGTCGATCGCCTGCAAGTTGAAGGAAGACTGGAGTTAAATACGAATAAAAGTACTTTATAACTTCATTTGTACTTAACATTTGTTTGTAGACTTTGTAGTTTTCTTCACTTTAATTGCCAAACAATATAATTTCGTTCAAGGAATACTGGTGTTTTGGATTTAAAGTTGAAGAACGCACATAGTATTTATCGGTTCAATCGCTTAAGTCTTCACTACAATAAGAACTTAGGGCTAAGTTCCTTGACAATAGGGCTTCAACAACACATCTCCACATTCGTTTTCTACCATCCTCTTAAGCTGGGCCCACAAGTGACTAAGCTCTCTCATCCCTTCCTCACACGATCTCCTCCATGTCACCGTCGTACCGACGACCTACTCATCGCTTTCCACTGGGATAAAACTTGAGTAATGGCCTCGCGTTCGATGTCATTCGGCGGCCTCCTTTATGTACGCCCAATCCATCTACACTTCCTCCTGCATATTTGTTGAGCAATCGGCTCTCGCCTGTTGGTTTGTTCCCATAATTTCTTGATGCCTATTTTTTCTAGAAATTCGATCTACAATATGGAGCCAGCGAAGCGGGCGGCTGTTGGTGAAAGTCTGCAACAGGCTGTTGGAAATCCTCTTCGTGACACGCTGGCCAAGTTTCTGACCCGTATAGTGGAACCTAATTCACACTGGTGTTGAAAATCCGAATCTTGTTCCTTATGCTGGCTGAGTATGGAAGATTTCCAAACTGGTTCCAAGTTGATGAAGGCGTATCTTGCCTTTCCGATTCTGAAAGGCTGGCTTTGATATCTTCATCCATTCCGCCTGTAGTTGAAGCGATGGTCATAGGATAAGTCAAACTGTATGGACTGCAAATTGCTAGCTAGCTGACATTGAGAATTGTCAGATTTGTCGATAAGTACCACAATATTTCTTTTTCGTCTCTCATTATTTGTTCGACTTTAATTCACTCTCCTTATCTCTCATGAATGTTCAATGAAAATCATAAGAAGACTTTCAGGAGTCATAAGCATTTACCAATGAAATTAATTATCAAATGAATTAAGCATTTTCAACCTGCAATAATTCAGTCATACACACAAAAACAAACACAATTAAATGAGAAAAAGAACGAACCCAGAGAGAAACACATCGAAACATCAAAAAAACAAAACAAAAACAAAAGTACAAGCAAAAAAGATAATGAAACACAAAAAAAAAATAATAAATAAATAAATAAAATAAATCCATCCAATTGAAGACCACAAAAGACCACAAAAGAAGCCTTGAGATATGACGTAAAATAAGTAGTGTTTTAAAATTAAACGCCTTATTTCATCGAATAACAGAAAATATTTGTTCAGGGCAAATAATTATTAATAGGCAGCAGGCAGGCAGGCGGGCAGGCAGGTAGGCAGGCACTCAGCCAGCTAGCCAATCGTCTATTGGTTACACAAAAATTAGTCAGTTAGTTAGTTAGTTAATCAGTTAAATATTTCAATATTTGTTCAATGTTCAACATAATTGGTGCTTGTTCAATATTCAAGGATATACGCGTTAAGGTGTAATTTAAAGCTGGGCATGTATTGTTAACTTGTTTGTTAATTTATGCGTGTACATATAAGTGTGTGTGCATGTGTGTTTAAGCGGGCTGTTATTGCTGAAATAAGCAGCATGTATATAGAGAGAGTGGGCAGATAAAATGCCCTATGCATGCAGATAAGCGCGTATCTTGTAAATGTATCGATTTATGTGTAGGTGTATACGTATACATATATATATAAGTTTGTTAAAATTTACTTCTGTATATAGATATATATATATTTGCACTGTACTCACAGATATCAACAGTTTTGCTTTGGTAAAATACATTTTCTGATTTATTTGAAAGATAATTTTTTTTTTGCATCCTACAATAACACTTTTAAACAACACACATAAACAGCGTGAATTGCTTTGAAATGAAAACAAATGTTTAGAAGGCTATACGGTGATGTATATTGTGTAAGCAATAAATGCCAATACATTTTATTTTTCTGCATTTATCCAACTTGCATTGCTCCTTAAATGTTGTTAATTCTTTTCTGGCATATCTTGTAGTGTATGCCATTGGGCAATTGGTCGTCTTGGATTGGCCAACATGTCAGACCAATGGCGTAGAGCAGCGCCTGTAGCATTACAGCCTAGTACAACACGACCAATTGGCTCTGAGGTACCGATACGATCATAATCGACAACTGTAACAATGAGGTTGACTTTCTAAAATAGAAATAATGACAGTAACATAGTACTGATATCGATATAAGTAGTAGTTATGGGAAATAATGGAGAAAACCAATCCGCACACATATACAGATCAAACATTCAACTAAAGTAGCAATAATCCAACAGCACATAAACACATAAACTGACTAAGAACATTATTCAAAAGAGGTTAAAACACACTATAGCACTTGAATTCTGAAGACAGTGGCAGGGAAATATTTATTGACTGTCTTGCAGAGAAACCTTGAAGCATCCACTATTTCATGGAAAAATGTCTAAACTCTACCAGCAACAAGAAATCATCCTCAGAAACCACAAGAAAATTTATCCTGAATAATTCGCATCCGGACATTGATGAAAACAAAACACGTAGTTCAACGAAGAGTCTCTTTTTGATGAATTCATTCACCTAGCTGTACACTCGCAATTATGTATACTTATTTTTGTATGTGTGGGTGTACATTAGGTTCGTCAGATGAGAATAAAATTGAACTCTAGAAGGGGAATGCGAACCCGAAATTCCCTTTCTTGATGTGCAACTAACAAGACGACCCGAGAGAACTTTAAGAAGTTCAATCCATAGAAAACCCACTTAGAACGGTTAGCTAACAAGGTTCTACAGTTAGGTAGCGACTGAGAGGAAACGAAACCTGGTTAAATCTCTTGCCACTCGGACCGCATCTGCAGTCCTGACCTTCTGGAAGCAGAACTCGATCTTCTGGAAAAAACCTTCATCTAAAATTGATACCCACCATGTTTCATAGACAACAATAGCAAACAAAAGGTCCAGAGGAACGAAGCATCGCTTGTTTCAAAGGAGATATTTTACATGAATCTGGATTTCAAGGGAGACTAAGCCTTTGATATTCTTAGGAGGAGGATTTCATCATCTTTGAGAAGAACAATCTTCGCTGCAACACTAAGCCAAGAGTAGTGTTCTCCAGTCGTCCACTGGTATGCAGAAGCCTTAAGGACACGCTCTCGCATCTGGCCACTTCTGTGTATGTATGTCGGTTCACCTGTTGCTGTGGAGGCAGGTAAATTGGTCGTTAAACACGTATATTATCCAAAAATGGTTGAAGAACACTATCCCACATGGCTGCAAAAAGGTTATGGCGGCAATAATCGAACATCTCGTCAACATTGGTCATACCATCTCAACAAACGCCTCCTTCAAAGAGATCCACAAAGGGAAGAACAATCAACTGAAGGCTATACGCTTTCGTCTCCTTTGTATTGCTGAAGCCTTAGTCATTCAGCTAGAGAAAACATATTTAGGCATACAAATGAAAATCACCCAACCACTTCTACCGTCATGGTAACAACCGTGTTGATTTCCGCTGACTTGATGTTTGTGGGCTTGATTTTTTCTAAATCCTTGTAACATTTGTGATTTTTAAGACTCTTACATTATACTGTGTTTTCCTTTGTTTATACGTGCAACCTAATCCCAACTCACTCAATAAACTATTCATGTTATTACGTAACTGTATTGCGCTTGTTCAACTTCTTTTATGTGTTGATTAACATTGATGACTATGTTTTTTTTTGACAGCACATCACCCCTACCCTCTTACCAATCTTTTCCCCCAGCCCCTCTAGTTACTATTTGATTATTCATCACATTTTCGAAATGTCTTGACAACAATAATTCTAGCTTATTTTCACTCTAATAGGACAAACTTAATGTACACACATATACAAAAATGAGTATATATAATTGCGATTGTACAGCTAAGTAAATAAATTTCTGCGAAAATTTATCCTATCAAATTTGAAGAAAACTCAAATCATTTGGAATACAAAATAATTGAGCAAAGAATTTCCTTTTCGATAATTGACACTTCTGGCTCTACAATTATATATATATATATATATGGAATATTCTAGAATTGTAGTCAATAACAATATTAGTGTTTATTAAATAATATCGATGTGTAAACTAAAATCAGCGGAATTATTATTATTATTTTTCCCTTGGGTTCGTAGTGAAACATAGGGCTTCAACTACACGTCTCCACTTGCTTCTGTCTTCTGCTGTACTTTTCACCTGCATCCATGTTAGTCCATACTGTTCCAATACCTCTCCACACGATCTCCTCCAAGTCACCCTTGGACGTCCCACTCGCCGCTTCCCATTCGAGCTCCACTCGAGGGCCTGACGCACGATGTCACCCAGTGGCCTCCTCAGCGAGTGTCCAATCCGTCTCCACTTTCTCCTGCATATTTGTTGGGCGATTGGTTATTGCTTTGTTTCTTCCCATAGTTTCTCGTTGGTGATTCTTTCCAGCCATCTGATCTTCATCATGGAGCGAAGACAGTTTTTGATGATGGTCTGCAACAGGCTGTTGGAAATATTCTTTGTGACCCGCCAAGATTTCATCCGTATAGAAGAACTGACTGACTTGACGTCGTTTGTATGGAAAATCCGAATTTTGTTGTTGATGCTGAGTTGAGTGACGAAGATTTCCAGATTGGTTTCAGGTTGATGAATGTGTTTCTCGCCTTCCTGATTCTCGATTTGACATCCTCGTCCGTTCCTCCTGTTGTTGAGACAATGCTCCCTAGATGAGTGAATGAAGTAACCTCTTTCAAATGCCTTCCGTTGATGGTGATTTGCGCTGGATGTTGCTGCTGTTGTTATTGTTGTTGGTTGTTTATTTTCATAACCTCCGTTTTGTCCATGTTCACCTGGAGTCCTGTCTTTGCTGCCATCCTCTTCGACCAGTTTGTCGGTTTTCGCTTGTGAGTCTTCGATTTTGTGTGACATCAAACATAAATCATCCACGCGCGAAAATCAGGTCTTCTAGGTTCTTCATGTCGGTCCAGGATATCCCTGTCTTCTCGTTTCCCACTGTCTGACGCATAATCCAGTCCACCACAATTAGGAATATCTTTGGTGGTGATAATAAGCACCCTTGTCTGACTCCTGTGTTTACTTCAAGCGCCTCGCTGAGTTTTCCGTTGTGGATCACTTGACATGTTCAGAGGAATTACAGTTCATTAAAAATACTTAAATAATAATAATATAATAGCAAATAGAATGTCAACTAAAATTAGGGAAATTTCTACAAAAATTGAGGATCATTTGAACGTAGATGGCCAAGGTAGGGATAATCTCTGAACTAACTTCTTTTGGACGCACAAATTAGGCTTCTAAATGTGGATCCCAACAGCCTCAGCAATATTTAGTAGTCGAATTCTTAAGGCGAAGTTAGGATTTGTCGGTATGCAGTAAATGACTTTGAAAGTAGCCTCGTTGACATCAATGTTGTGTTCTGTGTCCACAAGACGAGATAGAATAGCGCTGCGAATGGATTTTGATATCCTTTACTTAACCATGCAGGGTGATGCTCAGAAATCCCACGAGAACGCACAAAACCAACATGATCATTTCATTCAGTACTATGTAGCCTAGAAGATCCACCCAACAGTAGTAGACAAGTTACAGAATTTCATCATGAGCTGACATTAGTTAGAGAACCACTGGAAAACCTGGGGGTACTGCACAGCTGTTTCCGTTGTCCTAGTCTGGGACTCTTCAGCAGTACGCACTCACATCAGGGGGTTCGAACCCAGGACCTTCCGGTTACAAGGTGAGCTCATAGACCATTAAGCCACTGGGACCCGATCCAATGTCCCATGAATTCTAACTTCTGCCAATTCACGACATAGCGTGACTCCTAACCAATGTTTTCGGTGGCGAGTATTTGTCCTCACACCAGACCTGCTGCACCCTACTGGTCACGACTTCTCACTGGTAGAAGACAAGACTAATAACATCGACGAAATAAATCGCATGAACTGTGGTAAGCACCTTTGACTCTAAATCCCAGAACATAAACTAGCCAGGCGTGAAAACACATGAAATGTATTCTTTCATATTAATGCATATGTACAGAAATGGACACCAAATTTGAACGAGAAAATGTGGAACTTTTAAACAGTGCATATATCAAAATACTCCATGACAGTCCCAGGCTCCTGGTATTCTGACAAATCAGCCTTCACATCCAAGTTTGCACTAACGATGTTATCTAGAATAACAAATGAATGCTTCGCAATTAAGCCATCACCAGGTCAGAGAACACAGTCACACCAAAAACTAGTCACATGAATTTTAAAAATTTAGATTTAGTATTAGACAAAATCAATCATGTGACCTTCAAACAACCAATCACGGAAGCTGTCTACCTGATAACAAAATACATAAATCGATTTATATCGATTTTAAATTTTTGAATATATATATTGAACATTCGTTTAGGAGCGACTGCCTGCTTTGATAACAATGAATGTAGGAATATTTGTTTAAAATAATTATAACATTTTTAGAAACTTAGTCATTGACATTTCAGATTTCCTGAACTTAACACTTTAGAATAATGGATTATGTCTAAACATCACCGACTAATATGACTGTCAAATGTTAAACCTTTTCGGTAAGCATAGCTCTACAAGTGGAATATTTGATTTGTTAAACTGTACAGATGTCAAAATTACCTTTTTTTTAGTTTTTTTTAACAGCCCTGAGTATTTTCCGTTTTCAGCCTATTACATCAGAGCTAACTGACATCTGTTTAATAATAATTTCATCACCTTTATGTTAGTTAGGTAGAATAAGAGACAGATGCATTTGTATCAGTCATGATCGTTACTCATTGTTAAAAGCCATTTTGAAACAGAAATTGAAAATGTCTGAATTTTTGTTGTACCCTTGTCTGTCTATCTGACTATCGCAACGGGCATATTTATCAATGATAATCTAACAGGTGCATGCGTGAAAATTTCATTGCTTACATGAGACATTGGAAAAAATGGGAATATTTTCATAGTTGAAGTTGTAGACTAGAGGCGTGGCATGGATGCGGATGCCAAAGCAAGACAGACATTGATTAATGAAAACAAAACACGCGTGGTTCAGCAAAGAGTCTCTTTTCGCCGGTGAATTCATTTTCTTAGCTGTACAATCGCATATATATATATATTATTTTGTATGTATTTGTACATTAAGTTTGTCAAACAAAAATACAATTGGTTATGGTTATTTTAACGAAACAGGTGAAAATTGATAATTGGAGTTACGTAATACAAAATCAGTCAAGAAAGTTAGGTGTTAATGAAATTAGGGTAGTAACAAAGGTGACGAGTTGTCACAAACAGTTGTTGAAAAGAATTTATGTAATAATACCAATAGTTTGATGAGTGAGTTTTACTCAGGATGCTCATAGGAACAAAGTAGATAATACGAAGTTACGTAAGAGTTCTAAATGAATACAGGAATTATAAGCAATTAAAGAATCAGGCAAACTAACAAAATTAAGTCCTCAAAAATCAACAAAGTCGTTACCATGACAGTAATTCTCTTTTGTATGCACAACTCCGGTTTTTCTATGTGAATGGACAGAGCTTCAGCGGTAAAAAGAAGATGAAACCGTATTGCCTTTGGTAAGTTATTCTTGACTCTGTTTCTACCCTAATTTCATTAACACATATTTTTCTTGACTGATTTTGTACTACGTAACTCCAATTACCAATTTTCGCCTATTACGTTAAAATAACCATAACCAATTGTATTTTTGTTTGACAAACTTAATGTACACACATGTACAAAATAACCCATATATATATATATATGCTATTGTACAGCTAAGAAAATGAATTCGCCGGCGAAAAGAGACTCTTCGCGGAACTACGTGTTTTGTTTTCATTATTGCCTGAATCGGGATTATCCATGAATTAAGACATTGATTACTCCAAAATCAGTGCGTAAATCTATTGCACTCAGAATAAGGAACAGGATTCAGATTTCAGAGAGTAATATCAATTCAATCAGTGGTACTATATTGGTCAGGGAAGAGACTTGGAGTGAATGTCATTAAAAACGTTTCTAACGGGTTATTGCAGACTTTCATCAGTACTGAAAATCAGATTGCAGAAGAGAAAAGATGACCAACCAGGAATGGAAGCAATGTTGCAGTGGTGAGCAAATATACACAACAAACTGAGAGGCACTGAACACATTCTAAAGCAAATAACCACAGGAAAATTAGAAACTCAAGTTTATAGAAAATCAATTTGAACAGATGAAATACTCTAATTGAATTTTAGATTTCCCGTCGATTGACTCGACCGAAGTGCTCGGTGGGAACATCTTCACTCACTGAGAAATGCAGGTACATCCAGTGACGCGTCCCAAACAGTACGAAATGCTCATCCTGGATTCCACTGCTAGTCACCATCCACCAATTAACGATGAAATACTCAATTATTATTATTATTTCCTTTAGTTCCTAGAGGAACATAGGGCTTCAGCCATGCGTCTCCATTGCGTTCGGTTCTCTGCTAGAGTCTTCACCTGGCTCCAAGTCTGCCCATACGCTTTCAATTCTTCTTCACATGATCTCCTCCAGGTCACCCTTGGAAGACCAACTCGTCGCTTCCCTTTCGGGTTCCACTCGAGGGCTTGTCTAGTGATGTGACTTGATGGTTTCCTCAGAGTGTGGCCAATCCATCTCCATTTCTTCCTGCCTATTTGTTTCACAATCGGTTCCTGCTGTGTTGGTTCGCTCCCAGAGATCTCTGTTGCTGATCCTTTCCAGCCATCTGATCTTGAGTATTGAGCGAAGACAGCTGTTAATGAAGGTCTGTAGCTTGTTTGAGGTGCTCTTTGTGACACGCCAAGTCTCTGATCCGTATAGTAGTACTGACTTCACATTGGAGTTGAAAATCCCGACCTTATTTTTGATGCTGAATGCTGTTAACCTCCACACAGACTTGAGAGTAATGAAAGCTTGCCTTGCTTTTCTGATCCTTTCTTTGATATCCTCGTCAGTTCCGCCTGTAGTTGAAACAATGCTTCCTAAGTAGGTAAAGGAGGTAGTTTCTTTCAGGTTCCTTCCATTTATGCTGATCGTTGTCTGTTGTTGTTGCTGTGGCTGTTGGTGTTGGCCATGGATCTTCATCACCTCCGTTTTCTCTATGTTCACCTGGAGTCCTATCTTTGATGCTTCTTCTGCCAACTTGTTACTTTTCATTTGCATATCTTCCATTTTGTGGGAAATCAGACATATATCATCGGCGAAGTCCAGATCCTCCAAGTTCTTTGTGTGAGTCCATTTTATGCCTGTTTCCTCATTGCCCGCTGTTTGTCGCATTATCCAATCTACTGCAATCAGGAAAATCATTGGCGATAGTAGGCAACCCTGTCTTACTCCTGTCTTCACTTCGAAGGATTCCGTGAGCTTCCCGTTGTGGATTACTTGGCATGCAGCGTTGTCATACAACTGTTGGAGTATAGGCAATACTCAATTAAAACAGCAGTAACAATCCAGCAATGCACAAAAGGAGTTGTATATAAACAGTATTCAAGTGAGCCAGCTACAAATCATGGCAGCACTCCCACCTTAAGGAAAACTGAAGAAATATATCTCATGGACGTCTTCCAAAAGAATAGATATCCACGGAGCTTCGTCAAAAGACATCTACCTCCAACCCAATCTACCATAGCAAACGCCCCCAAAGAAAGCACAAAGAAAATCGCCTTACTATATATAACAGACATTTCAGAAATCACTGAAAAACCCTTCAAACCTTTAGGAATTGATGTCTCACACAAACCAACAAAATTACTTCACTCAGCTCTATGTCAACCAGAAGACTCAACAGTGAAAGAAGATAAAACCAACATCATCTACAAAATAAATTCCAACGATTGCGAAAAACATTACATTGGCCAAAGTGGACGTCCCCTTCGTCTTCGTATCCACGAACATAAACTAACCATCAAAAAACATGACATCCACTCCCTCACTCATACCACTACATACAGACAACCACGGATATCAATTTGACTGGGACAACGTTCAAATATTAGACAGAGGAAACATCAAGAATACCAGAGAATATTTAGAATCCTTATATTCCAGTGAATCGTCAATCAATAGACATATCGACACAGACAAAATTTACCAATAGATAAGAAGGAAATCTCACACACACAGAGGGTTAAACTTGAGGTCAAGGAAACAATCAGCACCAATACCAATACACAAACAGTCAACCACGTCCAAGGTCACACACCAGGAGAGATGACTAATAAACTCGTGAGGAAATCTAAAAGCTCACTTGGAATTGAACTATGCACTGAAGACGTTGGCTAGTAGGGCAGTGAGAGCCAGCCATCCAGCTGCTCAGAGAACGCAACTATATAAAAAAGAGACCCTTGAGTGACATCACACTCAAGGCTCTTCAGTGGAACGCTAATGGGAAATGATGAGTTGGGTATCACTTTGAGCGTGATATGGAGGAAATCGTGTGAGGAGAAAGTGTAGGATTACAGTCAATCTTGGGATCATTTAAGGATGACTACAGAGAATAAGGTAAAATGGAGATGTACTACTGAAACCCCATGTTCCACACGGAACTGGAAAAAAATTGGATGAGTGTTACTCATCAGTGGTGAACTGGTAGAAGCTGGGAAACGCACAAGATATAAAATTCAAAGCCAGTGGATTAGTTATAACATGTTTGTTGGGACAGAGCATCGTCTTGCTTTCTATCCTGTAGGTGGTCGTTGGGTTAAAGACATGTCTGGGGTTCTTTGGTCTTCAATGATACGCTAGTTCACGTCGACTATGTACAAAAAACTGACTTACTGTTTAACTGTTAAAAGTAAGAAGTAGGCGAGTAAACTAGAGAATGGGAGGGTCAGTCAGTCAGTAAGTAGGTAAGCAATTAAGTTAGTGCGTCAGTGAGTTAGCGGATTGGAGGCAGGGAGATAGAGCGTCTGAAAGATAGAGCTTCCAGCAAAAATCCCTTCATCTGCTCTTCGAATGCAGTATTGGGCTTGAAGCATTGACCTTTGAAGTTTGAGTAAATATAGTTTTGCTAATTTTGCGATTACTGGCTCCACATCCAACCTCCTCTTTTTACCGCGCTTACCACCGATTGAGTGAGGTTTGCGGGTGAGTCAGCTGAGAATCAAACCCAGATGAAGAGCATTCTACCTTCGGACAACTGATGCACAGATCCCCAAGAATCACCTAACACTTTAGTTAAGAGCTGAATGGATTAACCTATGGCGCACAAAACACAAACTCACAAAAAATAAATTCTGAACAACTTACTTGTATCTGATCGAATGGAACATCGAATGCAAATGATTCATTGTAATATGGATTCAGCGTGTACTTTTTAATTGTTGTCTTTTTCTTTTTAACACGTTTCCCATTAAACATTAACGATAATTTCACATAGGGATCTAAAACAAGAATTATTTAATAAAAAAGGCTAATGTTACTACTGATATTACTACTAGTAGTGTGGTGACATCTGGCTGCGAACAAGCCAAAAATTGTAGACAACAATTTACGTTAATGTTTACGCCCCAAATTAGGGTCATGATAAAAAACACAATAACAAAGCTTAACCTTGAGGAACTCACCAACCAATCACGGCAGACTTAACGTGTGCAAATACGATTGGCAGATATATGGCTTAACTTTCTGAGAAACGGTCACAGGCAAGAAAACAGCCAATCAGAAGACGGTGCTTCTCCGCTGACTTAAGTGTACATAAAAATCTATAAATACCTCTTGATTTTCTCAATAAACGATTTGTTCCCTGGCTTTTGTCTTCTGTCGTTATACTAGTAGTATACGTTGATAACTTTTAAAGGTTTACAAATTTATCTGATCTACTATCAAAGAAATTGTTTCTTGAATTTATTTAAACGTTATTACTTTCCGAAGAAAGATTACATGGAATGCGCAATACTTGCATTTTAATAGTTTTCGTTCAAATAAATTAAAACGAGCACGGGTCAAGACTCTGTACTATAGTAGAGCTAGAAGAATGTGCTATTCAGAGAAATTAGAGGAAGAATTTATGATTCTCAGAAAAAAGATGTTGAAAAACAACGGTTAGCCTCAGACATTCATTAACAAATATGGAAGATGTGAAGGTTTAAAAGTCTATCAAATCACTGTCGGGGAAAAGCCTGTCATCATTCAACTCTATTTTAAAGCTGGAAATATCGCTGCAATGGTCAACAGAAGACTGAGTACGTCGCTTGCCAGAGCCTATCCTGTAGCCAAGTTGGTTCCCGTCTATCGGACAACATGTTGTTTGATGCAATCGAAAGTCGACAGATACCCTTCTCATGTTAACTTCAACCGTACATACAAATTTACATGTATCTGAGGGAGTAGTTACAATGAGTGAACAGAGGGAAGGGCTCATACACCTCCGATTTTCTAAACATGTACCAAAAAGCCTTCATCTGAAGGGAACAAATACTTTTGAAAGTGTCATTGCCAGGCATTCCCTTGATACGAATCATAAGGTGAACGTCACAAAACCGTTCAATTCTCCTTAAGTTTGCCGATGCAGTCTCCATCAAGCACCTGAAAGCCAACTTATGTGTTCAAAAAGAAGCGGTTATCAGTCTTTCCTTGTCATGTTGCCTGAAAACTGGACATTTTCATCCTCTCTTTCCTCTGATTACGTAACGCCGAATGTTTCCATTGTATATGATTATTATTGTTGTTTAGGATAAAGTGTTTATTATTATTATTATTGTATGCATATATTGAGTGATTGATTTTTGTTTAAAAATGGACTCATGATTATTTCTTAAAGTATAATTTTCTGTTTAATACCACACAAACTTGAAGATCTACGGGAGAAAGCCAAGAAAACTGACAGCAGAATCAGCGAACACAGGGTTTCAAATGAACATAGAGACGATAAAGCTGTTGAAAGTATTCATCGATCAACAACAACAACAGCAAAGATTGGTCACGATCCATGGGAGAAATTTGAAGGATGTTGCATCGTTTCAGTCATAGGCGTCACATGTGACGATATCAAAGCCAGTTAAAATCAGAAAGCAAGACAGGCGTTTATTACCCTGAAATTAATGTGCAGAGATACAGAATACAGCGCAACATAAAGAATAAGACCCAGATTTTCAGAGCTAATGTCAAGTCATTCACTATTTCTGTGTGATTTCAGGGAGTCAGCACAGGCATGACTGAAAGCGCTTGCAAAAGGCCACTACAGACATTCATCAATAGCTGTCCACTTCGTTCAATACTGACGATCAGAGGGCCTGTCAGAAAGAATAAGCTTGAATGAGGAGCGAAGAGATTGGCATCCAAGTGTGACAAGGAGAGGATAATGTGACGATGAAATGATAGCTTCTGTGGAGTCGTTGGGCCAATTAAAGTTTATCACATAGAATCGAGTGGAATGACCTAATGGACTGCTGAAGACTAATGTTCCCCTTGGAACTTTAGGAACGAATAATAATAATGATAAGTCGTAGTTGGTGACGTTCGATGAACGTAATGAGACACCATAAGTGAATGCGGAATACATTTGTACTACTTCAATATCATTTTATTTCACTAAATCACACAGTTATCTTCATCACCTCCGCCTTCTCTGTACTCCCCTGAAGTCCAATCTTTCTTGTCAATAACTATTACACTTTAAATATTATTAAGAGTATATTTAATTGTAGAACCAGATCATAAGGAAGTTTTCAAAACTGTAAATATTCCTTGAGCTCAGTCTTCTTTGTTTTTGTCATCTAAATGTCTAAAAAGGCATCCGTATTTATCTTCTGCGCTAGTGAGTTCGTGCGATTAGATGACTCATATAAGAAGTTGTATCGTTAGACAGAATTCGATTAGTGTGGATTGTTTATGTGTATACGTCAAACAAACAAAGTATGTGACAAAATAAATTTAAATTTTTGTTCAGTCCTGCGTGTCACCGAATATATATATATGCATATAAATCAATAAATTTCGTAAACATTAGCTGTAAATGACATTTTAAGGTCACTCGAAGGTCATTAGATTAGTCGATACCACAGCTATCGATTTAGACTGTCTCCCGCGAAAAATGTATCGACTTGAATAAGTTGATTCTTGATGATGACTAAGCCTTCGAAGAATATCACAAGAAATGAAAGAAATAATTATTAGAATGCATGAGTAAGTGGAAAAAATAGCCCAAAAGTTTATTATTATTTTTTTTCCATCTGTCTCTCCATTACTAACCTGAAAGTCCACCGACATCCATCTTCTTCAAATTTTTCGCTTCAAGTATATTGACATTCAAACGACCCGAAGTTGGTACATAACGCAGTGAAAAGCAAATATCACCTAAGCGATTTTCCTTGTAAAAAAGAAACAAAATATACGAAAATTAAAGTTGAATTAAAAGATTGATATATATACTACTAATTAGCTGATATGAGTAGTAGGTGACCATTCATGTCAAAGTTCGTCAAATGAAAGTGATCTAAACACGAAACGGCTTCTCCACTTATTTGGAACTCGGCTCATCAACACTGTATGCGGTTTTATTCAGCTCAGAGAATCGAAACCACACGATTATCCTAGTTTATGAGAAACAGAACAAGTCTTCATGTGGTAATCATGGGGGAGATAAACCTGATTCATATAGTACTTAAAGTTTTAGGTTCGGTAATCACGCACAGAATAAACGGAGCTCAGAAGGAATAAACCTGTTTAAAAACAGGAAGGTTTAAGGCCAGAGAGAGGGTGTACTGATTATATATTCACTTTTCAACAGATTCTGAAATGTAGGTCTACTTACCTGCGCACTGCAGTTGACGTATTTCGGTACTATGGTAATGTTTGGCAATGAAGGGAGTGCCGATAAAGTAGACCACACTAAATGAGGCACTCTACTCAAACTCACGCAGCCGTGTAAGAGCTTATGGAGAGTTTTCATCGGAAGTGATGATGACCAGTGGTGTCCGTCAAGGGTACTCACCATCCACACTTTTGTTCAGTTTCATCGTAGATGTACTAATGGAATTAACCATGACTGGCTTCAGCGACTTAGGGATTGACTTGTAAGTACGAAATAGTATTGTTGACATACAATATGTGGATGCAGAGTCTTCTAAACAACCTCGACAGAAATCTTCAGATGTTTGCCATAGGATTTACTCCTATCAGATGTAAGATGATGCTTCAGGGTTGGATTACACCAACTCTTGGCTTAAAGACAAGAAATGAAGTGGTAGAGCGTGTTGACCAATTCACTTATTTGGGAAGGTGCATTAGCTATCATGGACTGATTTATGACAAAATTTCGGTATGGATGCAGAAGGCTTCTGTTGGATTTGTCTGCTTACATCATGACTGGAGTAGACATGATATCTGGATATTGATGAAAAGGACGTGTGCACTGTGCAACATTTCGCTCTCTCCTCCTTTATATCTGTAAGATACGACAAGTCTAGCTACCTTTGACTGCAGATGTTTGAGTTTAATCTCCTATGATAACTGGTACACAATGGTGAGCGATACTCAAGTTAGGCGCACTGTTAAGTAAGTAGGATTAGTCAATCAATAAGGTTACGAAGCTCCATCTGTTGAGATGATTGGGACATCTGTTGTGCATGTTAAACCATCGCCTTCTTCGATGGGCAATGTTAGTAGCACACACCACAGCAGTGGATTAGGCTGGAAAAGAGTTAGGGGTAGTCAGACGACAACCTGATATCTGTTGACTTCAGCCAGCTGCGTAGGGAGGTTTAAACTGCCTGATTGTGATTCTCAGGATTCTAAGGATGATTGGCCGAAGACTAATGGTGATATGGCTCAATCCTTCTCACTAACTTGCATGCATTCAATCTGTGTGATTCGCTTTTTCTGCTAAACTGCCATGTTTTTGTATCTTCCCAACTTTTCCCCTTATATTTTCGCTTAATGTTACGACAATGATATTTTTCAAAATCTGATTTGTCTTCCTCTCGTTTGTCTGATTTTGTATGATACATGGGATATCGTAACACGAACCTCGGCACTTCTGTACAAAAGTTTATACTGAAATTCAGTCACTCAGATAATAATTTTGACTCATTAGCTAGCTACCCGAACGAAATGATAATACGTAGCATTGGATTCATTATAGGATTCTAGTCACGCTTGACATACTTGATAGTCCGAGAAGAGAATGTTTGCCAGCTATGTACATGGTCTGGTTTCGATTCCCGACTGACACACCCCTAAGCCTCACCTAGGCTACTGGCCACTGGTGAACCAGAGAAAGGTAAGTGGCTGGGCTTGGTGCCAACAATCCTCCATCGTAAGAAAAATGACACCACCGCTACGGGAACTTCAATGCTCAAAGCCCTGTGTTCAACTCTGAAGACAGAAGAACGAAGAAAAATGTATGAAACATTTTACTTCAAAAAAGATTTCATCGTTAAGCTCTGTGTGTTGTACCTTAGCTCCAGTAAATTTCCCGCTTAGTCATCAATAATACACCTACTTAGGACACATATGCAACGGAGGCACTATGACACATCTCTATGCACAAGATCCCCATCATTAGTGTTCGATATAAGCAACAGAAAACTAACGACTCTAACCAGTAATCCAATATGAGTCGAAATGCATTAATAGCTATATCTGTGATTGCCTTGCTGGTTGACACAGTTTCAAATCTCCCAGTACGACACCGGTTCCTTCGATGTTGAAGATATAGCTTACTAACGTGTACCAACAGCCATGAAATCCAGGTACTTCAGAACTTTCTGCTAACCGTCTTCAACCTCCAAATCACATTAATTCAAAAAACATTTTGATAGCTAGTCATTAGATTTGGTGATGACATTGAGAACTTAAATGAAAGAATTCAGTCGACAACAACAGGAAGGATGAAAAACACTGATATTGGTAACTACCTACTGATAGGTCACTGAATGAATACTTCTACTGTTTGGTTTGTGGTGATTAACAGTGGCATTAAGAATACGCCTTTCGTCATTTGGGCCACAAGTGGTCTGTGGATTACTCTTTAGCGTTTGAAACGATGGATGCTGGGTTTGAGCCCCGGTTAGAACAGCATCACTTACTAAGAATGCAGGTACCTCCATATGACGAAGCCCAGATAAAATGAGATAAACATTCTAGATAATAATAATGATAATTTGCTTTATTTCAAAACAGTACTTGTGATACATAATGGAATTCTCAGCCTTCCACTATAGTATTGCATCCAGTTAGTACATAAACAATAAATAAAATTCTACATAGATTAAGGGTAATCTCAGCTCATTATGAAAACAACATATTGACATGTCGGTAGCAAAGCCAAAGTTGAACAGTGTTTGAAGGTGTTAGAAAAGTGGGAGCTGTCTTATTAACTGGCGTAAGCGAGAGAAAGAAACAAAGCAGCACATAATGGAAAAAAGAGAGAGAGAAAAAGAAAAGAAAGAAAACGTTGTACCTATAAATGATATGAGTTGGAAAGACGAGGTCCAGTTGTACTACTTACTGAGTATTTAATGAATTATAGGTGTCACGCCTAATGCTTTCTTTATCGCACGGAACACGAGCTAATTAGGGTATGGTTGAGTTTTTATACTTGCTAGTGCTAGCATATAGTTTTCTATGTAGGCTTCTGGTTCTGCCTCATGAGATGCAAGGGGAGAGTTGTGAATGAAGATGGTGGTGTTAGTTAAATAGAATGGATTTAGCCCATTTTTCGCTTGAGTTCAACTGCCTGTCGATCAGAATATTAACAAGTTGGTTAAGTGGCACGTTGTGTGCTGACAACCTTTAACATCCTACGTAATAAGGTATAGTCTTTCTTCAGTAGCCCGGGTAAAACTAAGGGGGAACAATAGAGAATAATAGCCAGGATGCAAGAGTTGACGAATCGTAGATATCGCTGACGATTACCATCCAGCAGATAGCAGCACCTTCATTCTCAGAAATCATCGAAGCGTCGGTTTCAAGAACCGATATTTAAACATTTATGGCAAGAAGGTATACATAAAACATCAGATATGCTTACTTTTTCCCCTTCACCCTCTGGTGGATTCAATTCACGCCATTCTTCAATTACATTGCATAAATCTACAGTGCTCAGAGGTACTTTAATTTGTCCAATTTGATCATGTTTGGAAAATCGATCGAAATCGTACACGGTGAATTGAACTGTTTTCGCTGTAATCTCAGCGTAGGGAATCTGTGAATACAATAACAGAAAATAGTTACAGGAATGTGAGTGGAGTTAATCTATTTTCGGAAGAGAAAAAAGTATTTGTGAAACTGTATACTACTGAAAGAATGATATAAGTAGTTTGTAGCCGCTCACGTCGATCACCAGTAGCTCTTGCCATCCATATCATAGTGATATAAACAGCAGACGATATATTCCTTCGTTTGAGGTGCATGGAATCTGACTATGCTCAAAAAGACGGATCAGTTTCCATGGTAAAGTCTAAATATCCAAAACATATTGTGAAGTCTTTTAGAAACTATAAGCGGGGATCAATAAAACGGTTGGGGATACACTAAGCTATAAATATACAATTGAACCCTTTAAAAGATCTGGTGGTGGATAGACTTTGGTTGGCCTCTGAAAATGCCCTAATACTTCCAGCCATTAACAGACTATACCATGGAAGTCCTATTCACCACCTTCACGCAGCGGAAATGTTCATTACATAAGCGAAAAGAGAATACGAATGTCTGGCGCTAACGACCGGAATTGTGGATATTTGCGTAGGTATACCTAGAAAAGGCTATAGTACATATAGGCTATAGAATTCGAAAGAAGTGAATATTGTATAAACCTGTTTAGTTCACCAAAAACCATTGGAACACAGCTGCTGCCTCTGCTCCGTTACATTGTAAATCAAACTTCTAGTCAAAGGTTTCTGGGGTGGCCGCTGAAAGCAACCACATGATTGGGTCTGGGCATCAAGACAGTATTCCTGCCCCCTCAAAAATTGAGATTTTATTTGCAAATTTTATGTGTTCTCTGAGCTGGTTGGTTTAATTACGGAGCTTTCGTCATCCTTCTGGACAACATCTTCAGCGGAAGTTTAAGCATAAAATGAACGAATTTAAATTCCCTATGAATGATAGAATTGCGTCTCCTGGTTACCATTTTCGTGACTGGTAGTCGATTTACATCTGTAGTCATCATTTTTTATTGACTTGGGTTTGAAACTTTCTCGTCACCTGATTTACTTTTCATTAGTTGGTAGATTCGGTCTACATTAACATGTTTGTTAATCGCTGGCTGATTCACTGGAGTACCAGGCTTCTAGGAATCCTCTGGAACTTTTGGTGTTTCCTTTGTCTAAAATTTCGATATTATTCCAATCAAACTGATGTCAATAATTATCTGCATGCGTGGATATGAAAGAATGTATACCATGTCTTTTCACGGCTAATTTGTGTTCTTGCATTCGGATTCGAAGGGGACTCTCATCTTGGCCAATGCAATGTTTGTTACAGTTTATAGAATTTATTTGTAAATGGTATTAATTTTATCTTCTTTTTCTGTTGGATCTTTCAGTTTAAACATTATTGAATGAAGTGATTGTGCTGGCTGGCTGGTTTGTGTGCTATATCCATTCCAAACGGTTTTAATATTCTAGCTGTTATTTCAAAGATATTTTTTATATATTGTTGGGATGAATTTTCTTATGGTCTTTGATGATGGTTTCTTGTCGGTGTTGTGACTCAGTTTTAAACACTTTTTGATGACATTGAAAAGATATACATTCTTTGTGAAGACAGTTAGTTGGTATTTTTCCTCCATTCCCTTCAACACCAGAGTGGTGCTACAGTGTGTTTGAACTCTTTTAAACAATGTCTGCACACAGTTTCTTTTGTGGGTAATCGGGTTATTACTATTACAGTTGAGTATTTGGTCTGTGTGCATTGATTTTCTACATACTTGTATTTCTAAATTTCCTGTGTTAGTTCTCTTGATTAGGGAAAACATTTAAGAATGGAATTATGTTGTCTAATTCTTCTTCTCTTGTGGTAAATTTAATGTCTTCAAAGATGTTGTTTATTAATTTATGGGTATATTCTAAATCGTTTCTTTTAATTATTACAAATGTGTCATTAACGTAACATACCCAAATGTTCGGTTTAATTATAGGTAGAGCTATTAATTCTAATCTTTGCATGACGGCTTCAGCTATTAATCGTGATATGGGCTGTGATCCCATTGGTGTGCCTTTTATCTGTTCGAATATTTGATTATTGAATCGGAAGTATGTTGTAAGACATAATTAATTCTGTGAGTTCTATCCAAGTTGAACATTGTGTCTTTATGTTTTATTTGGCACATCCCTCAGCTGCACCACCTCTATTTGTTAATAAATACGTAAATTTAACATCAGTCTAGCCCAGGCTTAAGACTGACTAGGCAAAGTTTCGAAATGTGTCAGTCGGAAATCAAACCTTATCCATGTCTCAAGTCGTTGGCATTCTAACAATGAACTAAGGAGACACAACCGTCCATCCCTAATTTTGTTTAAATTTTTCCCTAATTTCAGCGTATAATCTAAGAATAACTGTAAATATCTATTTTAGCGCCCTGTTTGGTGCCATTACTAGTCTTTTGTATTTTCGATATTTTCTGAAAACTGATAGTCCATTGGTTGTTGGCGTTTTTTAGAACTTATTAGAAAATTTGTTTTGACTGGACGCTAGTGACTAGTGTGACGCATCTAGTCCTTTCTTTGGTGTAGCCTGAATTCTATCAGTCAGGGTTTGCAATGTGGCCACCATTCTAGGTAGCTCGCCATCACGGTGAACATTGATTTGATGGTATTAGATAGTTGGAGGCAATCGGCAGGAAGCCTTGGACTTAGGTTTCGTGCTAGTTGAAGGCTCCTTCAAGGTTGCAGATACGCCTTGCTGATGAGTGCCAACTAGCACGAAACCTAGGTCCAAGGCTTCCTGCCGATTGCCTCCAACTATGATATGATTATGAGCAATAGTTTGTGCTCGAAACGTCAACAGTTAATATAATTGTATAACACTGTGTGATTTATCAAAATAAAATCTTATCCATTACGGAGTTATACTCTACCATAGTGCCCAAGTTTTATACTTATATCAATAATGCCTCCAACTATTTAATATCATCAATTTCGGTGTTTATTGAGGTAATTTAGACTATGGTATATTCACAAGTTCTCCGAAGTATTTCAACTGTTATTTATGGCAATAAAAGCTTTCTTGTCTGCAGTTCGTTTTCTTTTCTGTTGTAAAAGTAGAATTTTGACAGTGTGGCTGAATACAATTCCATATTATAAAAGTTTATTTGACGGGGTATTAATAACTGGATGACGCTTCAATCACATGAGTTATTGCTGCTCATAATCATGCCGATACGTATTCACATGACCTTCTGACTTGTTTTCAATAGTTGGTTTGTAAGGATTAGATTTGTTTTTGCGAGTTTGATCACGATTGATGTCAGTTAGAGAACCATTGAAAACCAGGGAGTACTGGACAGCTGTTTCATCCTAGTTTGGGAATCATCGGCAGTACGCATCCGGTTACAAAGAAAGCTCGTATACCATTTAGCCACTGGGACCCAATTCAATGACCAGAGTTTCCTGGAGTTCTATTGAGAAGTCAAGACCAGTGAGGCCAAACCAGTCAGGTGTGAGGATAGATTCCCCACTGATGGCATTGGTTGGTGGTCGCGCTAAATCACGAATTGGTAGAATTTAGAATTCAAGGAACCATTGAATCGGGTCTCAGTAGCTGAATGATATACGAGCTTGCCTTGTATTCAGAAGGTCCTGGGTTCGAAGGCCAATGGGTGCGTACTGCCGATGATTCCAAAACTAGGATGAAGCAGCTGTCCAGTACTCCCTGGTTTTCAATGGTTGTCTAACTGATTTCAATTCATGGGAAAACTTCTATTATTATTATTGTTCCCTTGGGTTCCTAGTGGAACAAAGGGCTTCAACTGCACGTATCCACTTGCTTCTGTCTTCTGCTGTAATTTTCATTAGCATCCATGTTAGTCCATACTGTTTCAACTCCGCTTCACACGATCTCCTCCATGCCACCCTTGGACGTCCCACTCCCCGCTTCCCTTTCGGGTTCCACTCGAGCAATGGCCTGACGCGCGATGTCACCCAGTGGCCTCCTCAACAAGTGTTCAGTCCATCTCCACTTTCTCCTGCATATTTGTTGAGCGACTGTATCTTGCTTTGTTTGTTCCCATAGTCTCTTGTTAGTGATTCTTTCCGGCCATCTGATCTCGAGTATCGAACGAAGACATGGGAAAACTTCTAAATTGTGATATAGCCCTACACCCTCCAGCTTTTCCAGTTAATTTTCCATAAATCCAGAATAGATGTTGGGTTATTTTGACTGCACACGTTTAGTGTTGATTCGATGAACAAATATGCGGAATTAAGCGGAAATAATATGACGACCCATTAGGAAAATACAAATAGTAAATTAAACAATGAAAATAAGGCAAATAATAAAGAATTCAAAACGTCAGTAGTACAGCCACATATAGAAGAAGCATTGCAAGTCATACACAGGATTCTTAGTAAATAACTCAAGAATAAGGGTGGTATTTAAACCAACCAACTGTCTCAGACATAAACTTTGTCAACTTAAGTATCTGAGAAAACGAATTAAGAAGACAAAATAATATAATTTACCCAGTACCGTGTAATGAATGTGAGGTCAGTTACATAAGTCTCCAACTAGTAGATCGGGGTCAGTTAGATTACCGGAAGATAGAAATTTAGCGAGAAACAGAAAGAGTGACCATGTTACGTTAACTAAACGCGAGAAAAACTCAGTCATTCCAATGTATTCCCCTGCATGTCATCGTACAGTAGGGGAGGTGGAACAGGGTGAAGGTATCAGAAGATAATATAGTTAGGTGCACATAGAGCGATTAATCACCGCATTTTTATTCATCAAATCAACATCAAACACATACCATCGAAATGACGCAGTGTCCATACCAGGTATATGAGGAACCACAGTAAAAGAAAACAAACGAGGACTAAAGTGTATAAAGCAAGTTAAGCAGTCGCATGAATACGTCTCCATATGATTATGAGCAGCAATAAATTCTTCCATTATGGGTAAAATTTATTTTGATAAAGTCTCACAGTGTTGTTATACAGTAATGCTTACTGATGACCATATTTCGAGAACAGTTTATTATTGCTC